TTAGATGGGCTTCAGATTGGTTTCACAGGTCGGCGCAACATCGAGGGCCGAAGGGCCTGTACTGCGCTGTAATGTTCTATGTTCTATGTTCTATGATGTGGCAACCTGACTCAGAAAATGCACTTGGGATAACATGAAGCTGGTCCATAAGACCAAATAGATTTTTGAAAGTGCCTGTATTGTCAGCACTGTGGCATATGGCCATGAAATAGAAAAATTTCCTTCCAAAGAATCCCTACAGTGCAGAAACAGGACCTTCATCCCAACAAGTCCACACCAACCCTCAGAGCATCTCACCCAGACCCATTCCCCAAACCCACCTAACATACACATGATTGCTACAGGCAATTTAGCATGGCCAATCCACCTAGCCTGCACATCTTTGGACTGTGAGAGGAAACCGGAGCAAACCCATGCAGACACGGGGAGAATGTGCAAACTCCACACAGACAGTCACCTGGAGGGTGGATTGAACCTGGGCTCCTGCCGCTGTGAGGCACCAGTGCTAACCACTGAGCCACTCCTTCTCAGCTGTCTGTCATGCATTATGTGTATAAACAGGCAAGACAAATTAACAAAAGTGACAATCCATTAAAGGTAGAGGTCCAAGTTACTGACTCATTAACAGAAGTGTCTGCTGCTTGGGTATGGTTGCAGGATGGGAGATGCTCTCATAGCCCAGCAGTCTCTGTATGGTGAAGCAGCGAATTCTGGATGACCAATGGCTTCACTTCACAGATATTTGCAAATATGATGTGAAGGCCCTAAATACTGATTACTGCCGTAAGAAGACACCCCATCTGAAATGGAATATTTACTGCTTGTCCATCATATTTCTAAGATGGAATATGCTAACATAGAACTTGTGAGGGAGTTTACCAGTCCCTTCTGAAACTTCTTGTGTGCATTCTTCTACAGCAAGGTAGATTTTTCAGAACATTTCAAAACTGATGAAATAGAACCAGACGGATTTTCCCATGGGCTCTAGAGACCTGACTTTGAAAAAAATGGGAATCCCAACTCCACGAGACTGGTTCTACCAGCATCCTCATTGTCCCTGAACTCAGTGTCCAATTACATGTAGCTAGTGGGTTCTCAGTGCTCCTCCAGTGGAGGTGTTGAGGGGTTAGAACCAACGGATGAAGCTTCAACACAGAGATATCTGCTGAGGAATGGAACAGTTCACTAATAAATGGTGGCAACTGTTGCCAGGAGACTGTGCTGGGTAGCACAGTGGCTCAGTAATTAGCACTGCTGCCTCACAGCACCAGAACTCGGGTTCAAATCCACCCTTGAGTGACTGTCTGTGTGGAGTTTGCACATTCTCCTTGTGTCTGTGTGGCTTTGCTCTGGTTTCTTCCCACAGTCGAAAGATGTGCAGGTTAGGTAGATTGGCCATGTTAAATTACCTGAAGTGTCCAGGCATGTGCAAGATAGGTGGGTCAACCATGGGAAAAGCAGGCTTACAGGGATAGGGGGTGGGTCTGGATCAGACGCTCTTTGGAGGGTTGGTATGAACTCAATGGACCAAATGGCCTGCTTCCACACTGTAGGGATTTTATGTTGAGATCACTGAAGAGTGGGGATCCTCTCTACAGAGGCTATTCCAAGTAGTTTAATTGAGGGCTGTTTTACAGGGTTCACCCACTTGCTTCTCACCTTATGAACGTAGCCACAGCAGAGGCCCACTCTGCTGTCTGAGAAATCCAGACTGTGTATGAACAGTGTCCACAATTAGCACTTTAATTATGAGTAATCAACAGGGCAGACAACAGCCTTGGGTTGCCATCATAACGTCCACCAAACCTGCCTCACCCTCTCAGTAAATACTGCCTAACATGTTTTAAAAACACATGAACATTAATAATGGATCCAGATGCTGGGGTACTGGGCTGATATCTCCCCTTGTATTCAACAGGAACTGGTGTGCCTACGTAGTGACACGGATAGTGTCCTGCATCATTGAGGATGGTGTAACAACATACGTCAAACCAGAATATCAGCCCTGTGGATGGGGCCCGCTACAATGCCCACGGACAGTGATGTGAGTATTTACAGTACTAGTCCCCATGTACAGTACTAGGATAAATCTGCAGCAATTCCTCAGGGCAGTGCCCTAGGCCCACCCATCTTCAGCTGCTTCATCAATGACCTTTCCTTTGTAAGGCCAGAAATGGGACATGTTTGCTAACGATTGCAGAATGGTCAGCACCATTCACAACTCCTCAGATACTGAAGTAGTCTATCTTGAAGTGTTGCTAAGTGGCAAATACATTGCTGTCACACAATTGCCAGGCAATGACCATCTCCAACAAGAAAGAATCCAACCATCATCCCTTGACATTCAATGGCAATATCATCACTGAATCCTACACTATGAACATCCTGGGGGCATTATCATTGACCAAAACTAAACTGGACTAGCCATATAAGTACTGTGACTGCAACAGCAAGTCAGAAGCTAGGAATCCTGGACAGGAAAACTTAACTCCTGACTGCCTAAAGCCATCTACAAGGCATAAGTCAGGAGTGTAATGGCATACTCTCCATTGCCTGGATGGGTGCAGCTCCAACAACACTCAATAAGCTTGACACCATCCAGGAAAAAGTAACCTGCTTGATTGGTACCTCATCTAGGGTAGCAGATTCATGAGAATATTAACAATTGAAACTTCCCCTCCAAGCCACTCGCCATCCTGACTTGGAAATACATCACCTGCTCCTTCACTGTCACTGGGTCAAAATCGTGGAATACCCTCCTTAATGACATTGTGTATCTACTCACAGCACATGGACTTCAGTCGTTCAAGAAAGTGGCTAACCATGACTTTCTCAAGGGCAGTTGGACTGGGCAATAATGGCTGTCCAGCCCAGTATACAGATGTCAGATTGGAAGCTGCTGTCAGAGGGTCCTTAGTTAATTTCCTCAGTGCATCTTGTAAATGGTAGACGCTGTTGCTATTGAGTTGGTGGTGGAGGCAGTGAACTTTTGTGGATGTGGTGCCAATCAAACTGCTTTGTCTTAGGTGCAGCCAGTGATGCCTGCATCCCAAGGAAGAATAGTGAAATTCTTCTTAGTCTGTGGCACCCAGACTTGGACACAGTCCTCTCATCGAGGCTAAACCACTGTTTCATAAAGGTGCCTCACAGCTTCCTTGTTTTTGTTCTTTATTTCTCTATTTACGAGGCCCAGGGTGCCACTTACCTTATTAACACTTTCTCCTCATCCTGCACTGTCAGCTTCAACAATAGAACATAGAGCAGTACAGCACAGGACAGGCCCTTCGGCCCACAATGTTGTGCCGACCTACTATCCTACTATGCAATTATGTTACCAGATCCCTGTGCTCCTGATCCTGAAGGAAAGAAATGGTCATAAACAAGAACTCAATGGAACATCACTACATAACTGTAGACCTGTTTTATTCCTACATGGAGTCACAGAGCCACATAGCACAGAAACAGACCTTTCAGTCCAACCAGTCCATGTTGAATATAATGCCAAACTAAACTAGTCCCACCTACCTGCTCCTGGCCCATATGCCTCCAAACTTTTCCTATTTACGTACTTAGCCAAATGTCTTTTAAACATTGTAGTTGTACCTGCATCCACCACTTCCTCAGGAAGTTCATTCCACACGCAAACCACCCTCTGTGTAAAAAATGTGTCCCTCATTTTTTTAAAATCTCTCTCCTCTCACCTTAAAAAATGTGTCCCCTAGTCTTGAAATCTCCCATCCTAGGGAAAGGGTAACTAGCATTAACTCTATCCATACCCCTCATTATTTTATGAACTTCTAAAGTTGCCTCTCAACCTCCTACACTCCAGTGAAAAAAGACCCAGCCTATCCAAACTTTCTTTATAACTCAAACCTTCCATACCCGGCAACATCCTGGTAAATCTCTGCTGAACCCTCTCCAGCTTAATAATATCCTTGCTATAACTGGGTGACCATAACTGGATATCTATGCTTAAATTTTCCAATCCATTTGTCTCTCACAGTTATCGTTCCTTCATGAAGCCGCGATACAAGCTTGCATATAAAATGGTGACAGAAATGGAATGGAGGTGTTGCCACGGTTACTCAGGAGATGACTGTTCGGTGGGTCCACCAGGACAGACTGACATTGTATCTCCAAGGCCACAACAGCCCAAACCATCTGGGACAAGGCCATCAGGGGGCTCATCAATTGAAGGTAAGTCAACCTGTTGGTGGGAATTCAGGATTGGCCTGCACTGAGCCTTCAGTATGTCATTCTCAGCCTTGTCCCCAAAACATGGCAAGCTGGATTTTACCAATTCCTGGTGACTCCCTGTTCACCTAAATGTTTCAGGTGTCTTTCTATTTCATGTTTTTACAGGAAGAATGGATTCAGATAAATCTCATCAGATGGAAGAAAAGATCCAGAAGTTGAGTCAAGAAATTCACAATCTTCAGTCCACTATCAGAGGGATGAATGAGAAATTCCAGGATGAAATGCAGAAAGCGATTGAAATAGCAATGAACGGGAGGCAGCCAGCTGATGCTGCATCCCACCCTGACGTGAAGGAGACTATCAATGAGATTCAGAAAAAACTCCATCAGATTGATAACCGGGTAAGGGAGCATGACGGTGAGATTAACCTTTTAAACACAATCAAACCAGCGGGTGGTGCTGGCGGTCACTCTGAGACTGGCCAGAAATGGTCAGATCTAAAGGAAGAGCTGGTGAGGGAGGTGGAACGCCGGGTAAAAAACTCCTGCTTCTCCTGTCGAGCTGACGTTGAGCTCCTCCGACAACAGCAGGAGGAAGACAGGCAGAGGCTTCGAGAACTGGGCAGGATATTCAATGCCACTGAGCAACACAATAGGCATCAAATAGAAAGCATTCATAAGCACATAAGTGAGATGCCTGGATCTAGGTCAAGCCTTTGCTGTGCGGAAATAGACAGCATAAAAACAAAGGTGAAGGATGTGGAACGGAAGCTCACATCCCTATCGGATGTGGTAGGAGTTTTGAATCAGAGGTTGGACCATCAGCTTCCTGGCTTATCCTCAGGCAGTTCTCCACGGAATGATCAGTTCCACAAACGATTCCAACAGATTGAACGAAGACTGAACGAAAGTGAGAAAAATCTTGAAAAGCGCATCATGTCACATCTGAAAAATCTGAGGCATGAATTTTCACGCAGAATCCATGGGAATGAAGAGAGAGTCAATGCAGTAGTGTCTGTTGTGGGCAATGGTACAGTTTTTGATGATTGGGTGCGAGACACAGTCGGTGGTTTAGGTGAGGACATTGCAAAGTTAAAGAATATTGTGGGAACAGATAGAGAAAGCCTGTTGACAGTGACATCAAGTGTGTATGACCTGGAATCCAAGCTGCAAAGAGCTGTCAATGGCTGTGCACAGATCTGTAGCCCTCCCCATGTCACTGTCACACATGATGACCAAAATACCTCTGAGATGTTGGATATTTTAACTAAGCTCCAGAGGAAGATTGTGAAAAATGAGGCTAACATTCAAAACATTGAGTCGAACATTCATAACCTTACTATAGGAGGTAATTCATTCAAGAACATGCTGCATCAGTTTGGACAGGACATTGAACAACTAAGGACAACGTTACATTCTAATGTGGAACAAATGGACTTAATCAGCTCCAATCTCCGGGACTTGGAGAACAAGGTACAACGTGCAATTGAAACCAGTGTTACAGAATGCAATACCATGAAAGATGAAGTCCTTCTGCATAGGAATGAAATTAATGTGCGAGTTAATAAACTGACCGAAGAATTGGAGAAACTGAAGGAGAAAGCTGGCCATTCTGAGTATAACTGCAGCTCCATTTGCTCAACAACTCAGAAAGAATTAAACAGGTTAAAAGAGGAGCTCAGAGAGCCTGCCAAATATTATAAAGACCTGCTGTTTAAAATGGAAACCTTCAACAAGACTCTCGATAGGTTTGGAATGTTTGGTGGCAGCTTGGGCTCTGACCTTGGCTCAATGCAGGGAGAGCTGAAAGATGTCATTCTAACCTTCAATTCAATCAATAGCACCTTGAATGTCCTTCAAGATTTTGTTCACCAGCAGAGCCATAACACAAATATCTTGAACACAACTTTCTCTGAAAGTACCGATAGGCTGATTACAGACATCAGCAGGATTGAGGAAGAGATGACTGATCACATTGAAGAAAATAACAATAAGTTCATAAATTTTCAGAAGGAGTTGGACAAGTTCAATAACCGTATGGTGATGGAAATAGACGAATGCAGGGACTCTAATGAAGGACTTGGACAACGAGTGTCCAAACTGGAGACCATCTGTGTCAAGTTGGATTCCGTGTCCCAGAGTCTAGAAAAAATCAAAGAGGGTTTAAACAGACATGTCTCCAGCCTGTGGAACTGTCAAAGAGAATTAAATTCCACGCTGCAGATCCACTCTGGAATGTTGCAAAATATTCAGGACACTCACCTAGGACTTCTGAATCAAAAAATAAGTATGCTGAACCAGTCTATGGCTGAAATACACACTACAGTACACAATTTCACAATTTGGGATTTCACTGGTGAGTAACGGTCAATAATTAAAGAACAATTTACTCACCTTCCTGTCATCATACACTCCCAGGACAGGGACAGCACAGGGTTAGATACAGATACAGAGTGAAGCCCTCTCTACACTGTCTCAATCAAACTCTCCCAGGACAAGGACAGCATAGGGTTAATTAAAGAAGAAATCTCCCGTTACACTGACCCCATCAAACATTCCCAGTGTAGGTAAAGCGCGGGATTAGACACAGAATGAAGTTCCCTCCACACAGTTCGCTCCACACCGTCCCCATCAAACAGTCCCAGGACAGAGACGCCACAGCGTTAGATCCGGAGTAAAGCTTTCTCTACACTGTCCCCTATCAAACACTCCCAGGACAGGTACTAGCAAACTAGCACCAGATGTAATTGATTAACATAAAAAAACACTATTATTTATAATAAAAGGTAAAGTCAACAAAGTTCCACCAGATTACTGGCGATGGTTTAACCTGAGGGTCTCCACACTAGGTGAAGGGTGAGACTGAGAAGGAGAGTCCTTCATGGCATTGTCAGCGACTGTGGAAATTGAACATACCCGCCCCTCCCTCCTCACTGACCAACCCCCATCCCAACTCCCTACCTACACTCACCTATACTGGCTTCATCCCCGCCTCCTTGACCTGTCCATCTTCTCTCCACCTATCTGCTCCTCTATCCACCTTCTATCATCACCTCCTCCTCTCTCTATTTATTTCAGAGCCCCCTTCCCCTCCCCGACTTCTGAAGAAGGGTCCAGACCCGAAACATCAGCTTTCCTGCTCCTCTGATGCTGCTTGGCCTGCTGTGTTCATCCAGCTCTACACCTTGTTATCTCTGAACACATACTCCGCCAAGTTTGCTAACTGACTCCCTGCATTTATTGTAACAAACATAGTCTTACGCAGATGGTGGTGCAAATATGGAATGAGCTGCCAGAGGAAATGGTGGAGGTGGATACAATCACAACATTTAAAATGTATCTAGATGGGTATGTGGTTAGGAAGGGTTTAGATGGATATGGGCAATGCTGGCAAATGGGACTAAGTCAGATTGTGATGTCTGGTCGGTGTGGATGAGTTGGACCAAAAGGTCTGTTTCCATGCTGTATGGCTCTATGATGCTATATGTTAAAAACAGATTAATTACAAATATTCAAATTTGAGCTATACCCTTTAAAATCCAAACACACACATGCACATTGGGATGATGGGACCATCCGATGAACAGAGATTTTTTTTACTACTCGCTCATGAGATGTGGGTGTCGCTGCCTGGTCAGCATTTATTGCCTGTCCCTAGATGCCTTTGAGAAGGTGAAAAGGAAGGACTGTAGAAAAAGGGGTAATCAGCCATGGAGTCTAATGAAATAAAGGAGGCTTCAAACTGAAAGAAAAGGCATACAAAGTGGCAAAGACCAGTGGGAAACTAGAAGACTGGGAAAACTTTAAAGGTCAACAGAAAGCCACAAAAATGGCTACAAAGAAAAGTAAGATAGATTATGAGATTAAACTAGCTCAGAATATAAAGGCAGGTAGCAAAAGTTTCGATAAATGTAGGAAATGAAGAAGACTGGCTAAGGTAAACATAGGTTCTTTAGAGGAAGAGAAGGGGGATTTAATAATGGGAAATGAGGAAACAGCTGAGACATTGAACAAGTATTTTGTGGTCGGTCTTCACAGTGGAGGACACAAATAACTTGCCAGTAATTGATGACAAGGAGACTAACGTAAGTGAGGATCTACACAAGGTCATTATCATGAAAGAGACTGTGTAGGCAAGCTAATAGAGCTAAAGGTAGACAAGTCTCCTGGTCCTGATGGAATGCATCCCAGGGTACTACACGAGATGGCAGGAGCAATAACAAATGCGCTCATGGTAATTTACCAAAATTCGCTGGACTCTGGGGCAATTCTAGCAGATTGGAAAACAGCCAGTATGTTGCCACTGTTTAAAAAAGGAGGCAGACATAAGATGGGGAATTATAGGCTTGTTAGCTTATCTTCTGTAGTGGGGAAAATGCTTGAATCTATTATCAAGGAAGAAATAGCAAGACATCTTGATAGAAATTGTCCCATTGGGCAGACACAGCATGGGTTCATGAAAGGCAGGTCATGCTTGACTAATTTACTGGAATTCTATGAAGACATTACAAGCAATGTGGTGGACAACAGGGACCCAGTAGATGTGGTGTATCTGGATTTCCAAAAGGCATTCGACAAGGTGCTGCACAAAAGGCTGCTGCGTAAGATAGAGGTGCATGACGTCACAGGCAATGTATTGGCATGGACTGAGGATTGGTTAATCAACAGGAAGCAAAGAGTGGGAATAAATGAGTGATTTTCTGGTTGGCTAACAGTAACTAGTGGTGTGCCTCACGGATCAGTGCTGGGACTGCAGCTGTTTATAATTTACATAGCTGATTCGAAGTTGGGGACCACTTAAAGTTACTCATAAAATCTTAGAATGAATCTAAAAATGTCTTTGATAGTTGAGAACTGCTAATGCAATGGCAGGCAACGTGAAGTCGGTGTGATAGATGACAGATAGTGCATAAATTGCATAATTCACATATTGCAGTGTAAATGCATATTGCAATTTCTTAAAATTGCTTTTCATTGCAATCACAAACATATCTAATTGTAACGCCAACATTAACTGTCACATATAATCCATGGAGTCCAAGACCAGGCTTGAAAATATATTAGTACAGATGTAAAATAGTTGCACTAAATGTCATTCTTTGTGGAAAAAAAAACTTACTCAATTGATGCAGTTTGTTTTTGTTAGCTGTTGCTTGTGTCATTTCACAGAGATCAGAATTACTTTATCCCAGTAGTGTGTCAAAGTTTGTGGATGACACTAAGGTGAGTGGTAGAGCAAAGTGTGCAGGGGACTCTGAAAGTTTGCAGAGGGATATAGATAAGTGAGTGGGCGAAGGTCTGGCAGATGGAGTATGATGTTGATAAATGTTAAGTTATACATTTTGGTCAGAATTACAGTAAAAGGGACTATTACTTGAATATAGAACATTACAGCGCAGTACAGGCCCTTCAGCCCTCGATGTTGCGCCAACCTGTGAAACCAATCTGAAGCCCATCTAACCTAAACTATTCCATTATCATCCATATGTTTATCCAATGACCATTTAAATGCCCTTAAAGTTGGCGAGTCCACTACTTTTGCAGGCAGGGCATTCCACGCTCTTACTACTCTCTGAGTAAAGAACCTACCTCTGGCATCTGTCCTATATCTATCACCCCTCAATTTAAAGCTATGTCCTCTCGTGCGAGCCACCACCATCCGAGGAAAAAGGCTCCCACTGTCCACCCTATCTAATCCTCTGATCATCTTGTATTTCTCTATTAAGTCACCTTTTAACCTTCTTCTCTCTAACGAAAACAGCCTCAAGTCCCTCAGCCTTTCCTCATAAGACCTTCTGTCTATACCAGGCAACATCCTGGTAAATCTCCTCTGCACCCTTTCCAATGCTTCCACATCCTTCCTATAATGCAGTGACCAGAACTGTATGTAATACTCCAAGTGCGGCCGCACCAGAGTTTTGTACAGCTGCAACATG